TTATAAAGCCAGTATTGATTACCTTAACTCCCAAACCAGAAAAAGACACAACAAAAAAGGAAATGATATGCCAATCCATGTGTTGAACAGAGACACAATGATCAGCAATAAAATACTTGCAAAGTGAATGCAAAAACACATTTAAAAAAAAAAAGAAAATTCATTGCTGGGCACAGCAGCATACATCTTAACTCCCTGCACTCACTGGCAGATCGCTATGACTCTGAGGCCAGCCTAATCTACATAATGAGTTCTAAGCCAACTATGACTACTTAGTGAGACCTTGTCTCTAAATAAATAAATAATTAAAATAATAACATTAAGAGAACATTCATCATGATCAAGTTGGCTTCACTACAGAGATATTGGGATGGTTCAACACATGCAAATCAATAAATACAATATATCACATAAGGTATTCAAGGACTGAAATCACATGATCACCTCACCAGGTGCTTTAAAAAAAGGCCTTTCACAAATATAACAAAACTTAATGATAAATTCAAGAAGAGAGAGGCTGGAGAGATGACTCAGTAGCTAAGAACACCGGCTACTCTTTTAGAGGACCCAGGTTCAACTCCCAGCACCCACACACAGCTTACAACTGTCTGTAACTCCAGTTCCAGGGGATCTGGCATGTCATATAGACACACACGCATGAAAAACACCAATGCACATAAAATAAAAATAGGCAAATAATTAAAAATAATAATTAAAAAAGCCCTGAAGAGATGAGAAATGGAGGGAACTTAGAAAAAGCTATATATGACAAACCTACAGCCAAAATCATGCCAAATGAAGAAAAAATGCAAGGCATTTCCGCTAGAGTCTGAAGCAAGACAGGCACTCATTCTCCACTCAGACTCAATTTAATGCTTGAAGTTTTAGCTAGATCAATCAGAGAAGAGCGGGAAATAAAAATGATACAAACGGGAAAGGAAGAAGTCAAGGTACTTTTATTTGAAGATATTAGCTTGGCTTATTTCTAGACAGATTTTCTTAAATTTTTCTGTCTACCCTTTGCCTCTGGGCTTTTATCTTTCTCTGTGCCTGTATATATTTTTCTTTTCTTCTTATTCTGTCTGGTTGTATGGCTGGGTGACTGGATGCTGGCACGCTCCTCTTTACCCTTTTCTCACTCCGTCCTTCTTCTCTCTTCTCTATCTATCCTCTCTGCCTTCCAGCCCTGCCTGTTTCTCTCTCCTGCCTGCCTATTTGCTACTCAGCTCTTTATTAGAACAATCAGGTGTTTCAGGTAGGCAAAGTAAAACAGAGTTAAACAAATGCAACAGAAAAGAATGCAACACATCTTTGCATCATTAAACAAATATCCCACAGGATAAACTAATGTAATACAACTTCGACTAATATTCTACAACAGACCTGGAACCCATTTCTTTGGTGCCCACTGATTCTGATACCCATTAGGGTCCTGGAACCCATTTCTTTTGGATACCTACTGATGAGCTGGAGTAGAGGGTTCCATGCTACCCTGGGCTTCAGGCACCCACTTGGAGGTCTTGAGATTTATTCCTGGGGACCTAACACAGTGACACACACACAGATTAGAGAAGGTATGTGGGCAGAGGTTGGTCTAAAGGGGTTGCAAACCTCGAACACTTGAAAGTGTTCATCATGCTGCCATAGAGGGATAATTCTTAGAGCAGAATGTTCTGGAAGAATGTTCACTGGAAGCTTGGATTGCTTGGGATGGGTATATCTAACATTTATGTAGAGAATTTTGATTTTATATCTGCAATAGATTGCTGAAATAGAGTGCCTCCCCCCCTAAATCTCACAAGCTTAAAGTGGGGTAGAGAAAAGCAGTTGTGATAAATCTTTTTATAACCCACATGAATTCTAGTGGCTGGGAACTTGCTCAGTCAGAGGAATTGTCGTATTTCAGGGGAGTTAACGAAGCCAGGGAAATTAATTTTCCTCATTTTCACTTGCCAGGCAAGGAAATAAAATCTGTGCTTCTAAGCCGTTACTTGCATACTACCATGTACACAAACCTTAGCTGCAGTCATTATGTGGGAAGGGAACTTGGGAACAGTCAACCCAGCCACCCAACTACACTAGCAAAGAACTGCAATGATTTAAGCACACACCATTAATACCCTGACTCAATCTTGGTGGCTCCAGTTCAATCAGCCGGGCATGCGAGGGCATATTCCTTTCTTCAGTATCTTTACCCCACTTGGATGGGTATTGTTGTGGCCCAGATTCAGCTTCCTAAGTAGCTGCTATTACAGGTGTGCCCTGCCGTGTCCGACACACACAGTTCTCAGATCTTTGATGTTCTTGAAGCCCAGGAGTGCTGCACAGAACTGTCCTCAGGCTTTCTCACATCTCCCTACTTGATCATTTCTGTGTCCCAATTTCCTTGCAGATTGTTCCTTTCGTCCACACTCTGCTTCAGCTGGTTCTGTCACCTGGCTGCTTCGTTCCTTGGCTACTCTCCCACCGTGCCCACATAGACGCTCAGGCTCTGCTGCTTGCTGTTCTCACTGATTCCAGCTTCCACAAAGGCTTTGGGGTTGTAGATGTCTTTCTTCAGTCCTGACCTTATCGCTTGCCCAATCAAACAGCTGTATTTGTATTTGAGTGTCTTAAATTATTTCTTTATAGAATTTGGCAAATAATTTAAAAGGTATTTTCTCAAGTGATTCTGAATGTTTCCGTGTCCTAATGTCACTGAATGAAGGCATGCTGGAATAAATGGTAGCAAGATACAGTTATCGGATCACAGAGTGGGTGAGGCAGACACACCCTCTAATTCCTGTTATTTATGCCAAAATTGTGCAAGATCACCGACCTATTTTAAACCAATAGGATGTAGCAAATACGAAGGTTTGGAAGATGGGGTTAAAGCCCGAATCACTCAATGGAACTAACCAAGCAGCTGAGTTTGGTTTCATAAACTATGGATTTCACAGCCACAAGGAAAAGAACGGTTACAACCTAAGGAGGTTGGAAATGGACCCTTCTCTATTTAGTGGCTACACTAGAGCGCAGTCCAGGTACCAGGACACTGCAGCAATTCCAAACCCACGCAGTGACATTATTCAGCAGTGGTAACATACTGGTTGGTATCCTATGCTGAAACCCAAAGCCTACATCTTGGCTTTCTTAACCTGACCTCTCTCTGTTACGGATCAAAATCAACTCTCTTCAGTGAGACAAGTGCATTCAACACATTCTTAAAAAGTTGTGTGCCATATGTCCTGGTTGCCCAGATTAAGTGTTCTCTATGAGTAGTTACAGGGCTTGAATACCATTGCTCTGGGTGTGTGGCTTTCTGAAATGGTTTGGATTTTCATTCGGAAGATGAAATATTTGATATGGCATCAGACTCTTTTGGAACAACCTAAAATAAGCACCAAATGATTACTGAAATACATGGCTGTTACCTTTCTCTTACCTATGTTAAAACTTTTGACAGCTAAAAGCTCTTCAGACAGTATGAAGTATAGGAGGGCACATACCGGACTTGCTATTGATACTGTATGATGGTTTTAAGGCAATGAGTACTGACAAGGGCAGGGAAGATAAATTTCTGGAATGCCTTGAGAAGGAGCTGCCTAAATGATACAAATTCAGGAATAAGAGCAGAAAAGGATCAAAACACCCATCTAAAATTTGTACTCCACATTCTGCATTCTGTTGGTTATAGTCATTAAGTTGGTTACAATTACCCTACATGAGTTTATCTAGACGTCTGCTACAATACACTCACCATTAGTCAGTTTCTCTGTCATTCATGATTCAAAGAGTTCTAGAAACTTAGATCTGACATTGGCAAAATGTCCTGAAAGGGCAACCTCAGCCAAGTCCTGCTCCCAAAGGTGTATACAGACTGAAAGTTTTGAAAAACTCATTGGCTACATCTGGAGGACTGGGGACAGCTAGAAGCAAGGCTTGCAAATGCATGCAGCTTGGTGGTGAAGGAGTGTGGGTGAGGTGGAGGTTGTCTTGGGAAAAGCCAAGCACACGGCAACACAGTGGGGCAGCTCAGGAGGGGACTTTCACATTGGAGGTGGCAGGTATCCACTAGTATGGTGACTACCTGGGTTTAACCCCCGGCTCAGAAGCTCAGCTCGCTTCAAACCTCCTCTGACCAGCAAAATGAGGTATTACCTTGTAAAAGTGTTTGTCAAAGAGTCAAGGGACAATAAGCACATATTATGTCAGGATATTACACAATATCATACTCAAATTCAGTTGAACATACCAAGTCAAAGTTTCTAAAAGGTCAACTCTCTTCACTGTTCTCAACTCCTTCCAGCCTGGGCCATATTAACCATAAATTACTCAACAGTCACGGAAACTGTGCCCTGTATTTTTCAGCCAGCTACAATGCTATACGTACACACTTAAAACATGCACTGTGCAAATACTTTTATTTCCTTTTGGTCTTTTGCAAAAACATACACTATGTCCTCTGATATACGCGGAGCTGTATGGTAATATTGACTTTGATTTACTGAGAAAGGGGGTATTATGCAGTAAGGCAGAAAAATACAGTTTGTCAGATATTCTGCCTACACCAAGTAAAGGAAGATCCAGCACACAAGTTACTCTTCTCTAAACCAAGGCACACATACAAGTCAAATCTATTCCTGTCCCCACACCCTCCGAGGGAATGTATTTCCGCAGTATTCTGAAATATTCCAAGAAATGGCGGAGATGGTAGCATGCGGAGTAGACACACAAGCCACCCCCTTAATTAACCGTACCTCTTCCTTTCAGACCTGTTCTGGGAACCACGCACACGAGTAACTGGAATACCACTCACGAAGCAGGTACAACCACCAAAGTAAGGGAGGCTTAGATTTTCTATTTTACTTCAAAAGGAACAAATTGACCATCAGTCTCTGATAAATTCTGGATTTGCTATCACCTCCAGACACTGTACAGATAAAGAGTTCTCTAGTTTTACTTATTTATAACATAAACGCACACACGCACACATACACACATATATCACATAAGGCAAATTAACTTCATGCTTTACTTCAGCAAAATGGGGGGAAAAGCTTTCTCTGAAATTGGCACTGAAGTTTCAAATTCTTAATAGTAAGAAGATACATCCATCTGTAAGAAGAATGAACAGTCATATACATATCAATCAAAATTATTTCCTTTATATCATCAGCAGTGAACCCCAGAGGTAGTATGGCAGAAACGAGCATGGATCCTAACAGGTCACAACCAATGAAGTAATTCAATTTATTTTTTCTTCCTGTGGTTTTGACCATAAATCGCTTTACATTTAGGATCTGAATAAAAACCACTCTTCAGCAGAAATCCTGGTCCATTAATTTAACTGACAATAAGTTTACAACTTTCAGACTGCAGGTATAAAAAAGGTATAAAATTATGTTCAGTTTGAAATGGTTTTAATTGTATTCATTAAAAATATTTACATTTCCCAGGACTTCCAAAACCCCCTTGCAATATAATTCTACACTATATTCTATTTATTTATAAAATGAGGCTCATTTATGAGATTTCAATGACTGCTATACTGCAAATTACCTACATTCTGTAAAATATTTTAAGAACTTTTCATAGCAAAGGTAGTTTATATTGGATTATCTGAAACCCAAAAGTGTCCACAGATGAGCCTCTCAGAACTCTTGGCTCAACGCTTGGGTGCACTGTGAGGGGACAAGTGCTACCGCGTGCTAGCCTGTCCTTCGGTTTCACTTACACTGTGTGCACATTGTGAAATAAACACATATGCAGCATGGCCGTGTTTTGATATGTATTTTTTATTTCCCTGCAGTTTTCACTTATCAAGAACAAGTAACAGGGAAAGTTGTCTGAACTAGTGCATAAACAAACATTCTGAAACACCACTACACGTATCTAATTTACAAGAACCGTATAAAAAAAGTCACTAAAACACTACACTATGAAGGTGTCCAACACTTACAGTCAGACTTTTTCCAACCCGTTACTTGCCTTGTAGCCACAGGAAAACTCTCCAAAATTGAAAAGACAATCTTGCCACAACCCTCCCCCCTCCCAAAACCTGGGATGGCTCGATATATAGACTTCCAATAATTATTGCAATGATATAATGCAATACATACCTGGTAAATATCTTTTATGTGGTGTGTTACAGTTTTAAAGCCAGTTAAAATATGCAGTCTTCAGATAAAATGTAATCCATGAAAAATTTTCATATCTGCACAGTTTAAATGTGCTAGATGCATAATTTTCCTAGTCCACTTTTTCTGTGTAATTATTTTTTATAAACTGGTATTATAAATAGAAATATACATTCAAAATATATGGAAAAGTGAGTTACTCCATTAAATTTGCATGTATCGATCCATCCCTTTCCCCTGCACAGTAATAGAAAATACTATTTTGCCTTGAAGTCGTATTTGACAGTGAAATGCCACTAAAGTATTTACCAAAAAGTCCATCTAGTCAAATTGTGAAACAAAATGAACCAAGTGAAAACTTTACAGTTCCTTTAGAAAAAAATTACAAGAATTTCATTTCCTAGCTATGAATCTTTAACTTTTTAGACACAAAGTTGGATTTATTTTTTTTTTACAAGATACAAAATGTAAACATGGCAAAATAAATAGTTAAAACAAGTGATGCAGGATCCCATTTCATGCTCATGATCCCATTAAAGAATTACTTTTAAAATCCATTCAGTTGCAAATTCAAGTGCAAAAGCATGATGATGAATATCTACTATTCAAGTAACAGAAATAATATTGATGATACAAATAAACTATTTTACAAGGTAGTGATTTTCCCAATTTTACAAAATATACATCATATATCGATTTAACATCTGATATACTGTAGTCCATTTAGGTCCATTGTTCTGCTCTGTGATCCACAGAGTGTTGCCTTTTGTATTCCGCTGGAATATGAATGACTGCACACCATCCGCACAGGTCAAAGCCACACGCCGTAGGTTATGTCACTTCCATAGCTACTGTTGTCTCTGCTATTCCATTTAAACCCAATCTTTCTGGTTCATGGTTCTCTCTATAAAAAGACAAAGAGTAGAATAAGCTTTAGAACTCTTGAGAATCTATGGATAGGCCACATTTTTTAAGTAACTATAACTAAACCTAAAACCCTCAATTTTCATATTTTCCAGACAGAAATGAAGATTTTTTTGCTTCAGCCCAAAAATTTTAGTAATTTCTAATACAAGTGATAAAGTAGGGAATATATAACATGACTAATCCAAGTTTCTTTTTATTGGCTTATGGTCAAAAACTTATTTACCCGTACAAAGAAATTTACTTTCTGCTTCACTGTCCTTTTTACATAAAAACTTGCCCTGCAAAATATTATTTAGTTTTAGAAAGTTCTTAAAATCTACACACATACACATAATATCAAAATAAAAACTGTTTTTAAAAATATAAAGGTCAAGATCACAGAGTATGATTTCAATTTAAGCTCTGGTATGAACCAATGACAGCTCCAACCTAGATTATCAGTCTATAAAGATATGATGAAGAGTGGAGAGACAGCTCAGCAGAGGACCCTGGTTCGATTCCTAGCACATAATGTTTTATATCCCTCTGTAACTCAAGTACCAGGGAATCTGGTGCCTTCCACTGGTATCCACAGGCCCCAGGCATGTACATGGTGCACACACATGCATGAGGTCAAACAGTCATACACTTAAAAAAATTATTTATAAAATTAAAAAAAATATGAGTGACTGAAGCTTCTAAAGTATCAGTCAGCTTGACCTTCTCTTTCTACACCTCTGGTTGGCATTTAAGGATGCTACGAGTGTCTGTAAGCACAGAGGTTTCTTTCTGTTCAGCAAATCCTCAAGCTTTTTGAAAAATCAAGTCTGTCAGTGCCTTGAGCAGTGAAAAGCCAAAGGCCCTTCTCTTCCTACAGCACAGCTGGTGCAAAGCCCAAGAATGGTCCCCACACCACACACCTGGCCATGCTGCTGATGGCACTGCTGGGAGTAACCTTTGGCACTCTGTCCATACTGGCAGCAACTGTGGCAAGTTTTAAGGCTGTTGGCGATGGTGCTGAAGTCCGTGTATTGATATGCACATTGACAGGAGAAACAACACTGACGTTATTGAGGTGCACTGCATTGGTCAGGCAGGAATTGTTCATGGGAAGTGGCTGAGGACTGCTTGTGCACAACGCAGGGATCAAGTGGTTTGTAGTAGTGTGGCCAACTGTCCTTACAAGCTGTACAGCTGAAATCCCTGCGCTGGATGATAAAGCCATATTGGTGGAATATAATGTTTTAGACGGTCCTGCAAAATAAGAGGGGAGAAATTATTCAATTGGTGTCATGGGACAAATAAAAAAACTCCTACAAAATTAGGAATTTAGTAATAAAAGTAAATGTACTCATATTCTAGTTCAATAAATTCTAAGCTAACTTTGCATATCACAGTCGTATAAAGAGACTTCACAAAGCATTTTGCTACCTCCTTACATGTCAACTTTGGAGAAAAATATAGTAAGACAGATGAAAATGATAGCTGTATTGCCCTAAAGATTTATAGGCATACAAGGATGAGCAAGGGTAGACTAAAGGAAGAAAACTTGAGAATTCTGAGTGTAACAGCCGTGAGGAACAGAGCAGCAGGTCTCTGGAGCGCAGGAGGTAAGCGGCAGGCAGGCTTTCACAGCCACACTATCACAGGAGGAGGAGTCAGGGGAATTATTCTTATGAACACATGCACATGGGAAAGTAAATGTGACCTCAAGCTTTTTAACTGTGCCGTTCTGTATTTGACTTTTCAGTCAATTCATAGATGAATCAATAGGAGCGGCTGATAATGAGCTCAACGGATTTCCTAATATGTGAGACAACTGATAGTCTGAGGATGAAATCAGGATGGAAGGAGGCAGGTACACACAAGACAGCGTGAGAATTCTGGGAATCACCCAGCTATTCATACATATCCGCCCAACACATTCTGAAGAGCATGAACATACACTTCCTCTGTGCACATGATAAAAACCAAACCCAACTTAGTAAGTGTCAACTTCAAGCTACTAAGTATTATGTGAAACCCCAATTGTACCTGAAGGCTGGACGACACCATTCATGTTGTTGTGGCCAGTGTTCTGTTCCTTGGATACCTCACTGCGACTTGGAACGGGAGCACTGACTACTGCAGATGCAGCAAAGTGGGCGCTGGCTGAGTCAAGTGTTTTAGACATACAGTCAGAGGTGCCTGAGCCCTGTAGAATGGATAGGAGCAGAGTTCAGTTTTCCATGTTTATTTGCCTGTCTGTCTATCTAATCTAACCCCTCAGTAGTAGGGGGACATCATGTTCATGCAGAAGTCAGAGACAACTGTCAGGAGCTGGTTCTGTCCTTCCACCATGTCAGTTCCAGGAATCCAACTCACGTTGTCAGATTGGCAGCAAGTGCCTTTACCTTTACCCGCTAGGCTATCTTGCCAGCACCCTATATTCTCAGTTTTGTTAGATGTGATTAATGAGTACATTAAAGAATGTGTGGAACCCAAAATGATATTGTCTAATTGTGAATAGCTGTATTTAGATTTGAGGCATAAGACTTTAGATTTTTTTGTTTATGAAGCATGAAAATCACTAAAACTAGCAAGTAATTATTTCTGAGAAATAATTTTTCTAAACTGAAAAATCCATGCTCTATTAATTTTTCTAGGTAATAATGAACACTTTTTGATGAGCAGATACCATAAATAAGGTAAAATCACAGACATGATTAATAGTCACTTTTGTCACACTGTAAAATCATAGACTACCCCAACTTTGAAGCAGATTGCAAACACTTCAGGTTAGTTATTCAAAGAGACTCACAAAAGAAGCAAAGCAAACCAAACACAATGGCCACTCTTCTATGATTCTGTGTAGAACTGGCCGTTACTAACACTGACGGTCATAGACTCCAAGTCAAGCCCAGATCTATTAGGACTACCAGAAGTGTGTGGACAGCAACCAGAGTCACCAAGATTTCCATGGTGTTGACTCAAGACTTAAAGGTACCGAGCCATGTGGGTAACATATACTAGAATAATGGGCTAATATAAGTTATAAGAGTTAATAAGAAGCCTGAGCTAATGGGCCAATCAGTTTATAACTTATGTAGACATCTGTGTGATTTTCTTTGGGGCTAAACGGCTGTAGGACCTGGTGGGAGGCCAGAAACCCCAACAAGCATGTTTTTTTTTTTAATATTTATTTTTTATTATGTATACAATATTCTGTCTGTGTGTATGTCTGCAGGCCAGAAGAGGGCACCAGACTCCATTACAGATGGTTGTGAGCCACCATGTGGTTGCTGGGAATTGAACTCAGGACCTTTGGAAAAGCAGGCACTGCTCTTAGCTAACCACTGAGCCATCTCTCCAGCCCCGCAGGGCCACATGTTACAACCTACAATGTGAAGTTTATTCTCTGACGATTCAACTTTGAGATTATTTCTTTGTATTTTTGTTTGGCTTTTAATGGCTTAAAACAATGTATCATATTTTTGCATAGTTCCAGAGGTCAATGAATCTTATAAGGCTCATGCCAAGGGTTTGCTGTGTTGATTTCTTGCAATCTTATATAGTATTCTCATTCATATCACTCAAGTCTGTATTTATACGAGCTATAAACTTCTGGTAGCATTTCTTTTTCCCTTCAGGAAAAAGTGGTTCAGAGAGGCAAGGGGGCTGTACAGTTTAGATATACTGCACAATTCAATGGAATTCCTTCTCCTTATGCACTATACTGACATAGTACTTAAGCACAAACTTGAGGAAGAGGTTAGAAAAGCCATATTCTTGAAAAAAAAAAGGGGGGGGGAAGGGTAAGGAGTGATGGTTTCAAAAATATATAATAATTTTATAAAGTCTCAACAATCCTTCCAAGAACTAGTTATTAGTTTCTTAAATCCAAACTACATTTGGCTCTCAAAATAACCAGAGACTATCCTATAAACTAGCCATTCAAAAATAGGTGAGCTAACTAAGGAAATCTGGGTTATGTCAGACTCCAGAATAGAGGTATAAAATCATCTGGAGGAAATGGGAAAAGAGGAGCAGGAGGTCACCTGTGCTTTTGGATGTGTCTGCTGTGAGGAATGCTGGGATTGCTGCTTCTGTTGAAGCTGCGCAAGTTGCTGCCGTTGCATTTGAACTAGCTGCTGTTGATGTGTCTGGAACTGCTCTTCTGTGATGCCCCCTGTTACTGATGAAGGATAAATAAGCGAGTATTAAAGTATTTTTAATGACATAAGTAGAATACAATGCAAACCAGTTAAGAAAAAAAACCCCACAAATCACAATATACATCTGTAAAGTAAAATCATAACGGCAAGTCTTTCAGTGTGGTATGCGTTCATGTCTACATCTTCTTCATGCCTTTGCAGTTTTGAACTTGATTCTAGCATGAGGAATTTACCATTTACTCAGATTGAAATTTTTCTTTGATTTTTTTTTGACATGATTTGTGTATTTAGCATGTGGGTGTGTATACCACAATGCACATAATGGAGGTCAGAGACAGCTTGCGGGAGTAGGTTCGTTCTCTCCAGCCACCATCCTGACGATTGGTGGCAAGCCTTCACGGAGGCCTCAGATTTAGTGCATTTAAGATTCTCTTAGTTCTCCGCATTAGGGTTCCAGTGGAGTAACAGTAGTAAAGTAACAGTAATAATGATGATAAACACTCACATTTACTAATGCAAATATTAATAATGACCAAATTACAGCCTTAGTAAGAGAGGGCCACCTGTAAGACAAAGTGACTTCTGCCAGTTTTCATGACACTAAGTGAAAATATTTTCCTTTCTGACTCTAAACTGGAGTACAAAACAAAGATATTCAGCAACCATAAGCCCAATACATTCAACACCTAAAATAAATTCTACCAAAGGAAGGGCAGGAAATGAGATTATTTTCAGAAAACTAGAGTCAAAACGGACCTTCAGATGCAACCAGCAGTGCTCTGACCAGTGTGTGAAGTTATAGGTTTCAAGTAAAATCAAGAGACCAGTTTTCTTAAGTTGACAGAAGGATCAGCTCAAAAAAGACTATTTTTCTCAAAGAAATGTAAACCAAGTTTCATATTTAAGTGGGTGCTGATAGACCGACTTAGTGAACATAAGGCTCTTCGTAGAAATGAGCACACATTTAGAATCCAATGTCCCACCACACCAGAACACACACATACTTTCAAGACTAATTCTCATTCTTCTTTTCTTTCCTCTTTGCTGTGCTAGGGACCCACATGCTCAGCTAAGCAGATTCCACCACAGAGCTACATCTCAGTGATAATTTACTATCTATCCCCATGCAGAATGGTGCCCTAGGAATTTCCGTGACTAAAGGGAACGCAGATTAGGAAAAGGGTTATTAATATAAAATCCTACAGTTTCTTATGGAACGAAACAAAGTGCCAGTCAATGTTTGCATATGTGCTAAGGGATCTAACAATATGAGCTACAGCCAAGGCTACTTTATTCCCCAAAGTTTCTGTTTAGTAAGATTATCAAATGAGAACATTTTGATAGTAATATAGACATATAGCCAAACTGTGTCTAGAAAGTCTTTTTAAAAAAATATATAAAGAGAATTAGGTCCAGAGATGGACAAAGCTTTAGACATATTTTCATTTCTCTTATATATTCATCATAATTTCTACTGAGCTATGAAGGGAAAAAATTTTGTTTCGAGAGGATTTCAAACTCTGCTATATTTATTATACTGTTCACTTTAGAACCTTTACCTGTATTTTTGAAGTACACAATAGTTATTTTACTGAATTAGCAACATAAATCAAATGTTTCTTTGTAGATGCTAAATTCAAGTGTTCTATTTTTAAATGAAAAAAATTAACTCTAAGGTTATAATCTTCAAAAACAAATGAAAATATTAAGTATTCATGAATTTCCAGTTTGAAAACCTTGGGGGAAAATAGCTTATTAAATATAAAGGCAGGAGGAAAACCCATAAATTTAGCAAGCCTTACATGTCTTCTAGTGCTGGGCCATTTGGAAAGGAAAGGCATGGGATCCAGAGCTAGCTCAGTTCAACGAGACATTGCTCTTTGACTAGAGCTGAGCTTTATGTTGTGGAAAAGTGTGGCCCATGCTGGTTAACTTATGGATAAAATATAAGACATCACACACAAAAAAAGTTGTATTTAAAAACAGATAAGTGAATAAGACTCTTTTTTCCTTTCCAAAGCCTGTGAGGCAGTTGGTAAAATGGTTCTAATTTAGAATAAAAGACAAGTGACTGACACTGCTAATCAGAAATGCTCTACAGTCCAGAACCTTTTCATTGTACTCAAAGATCTGACACATTCAAAGAATTTTTAAGCTGAACATTTTGAATTCCAGATATTCTGACTAGGGATATTTAATCTGAACACTGGGAATTCCAAATATTCTGATTAGGAATGTTTAATCACTTAAGTTCACACAAATATTCAAAAACTTGGAAATTCACAACACTTTGGTCCCCTGAAATATTTCAGATACAGCAGTAAACTATATCTAAATTAGTAAAGAGAATAATTTGTCATTTTTAATCAAATAATTTTTGGCACTGAGTATGGTGGTACCTGGCTGTGATTCCATTAAAGCAGCAAGGATAAGGCTAACACAGGGAACAATTATTCCTGAGTTAGTCCATGGCTAACAAAGTACTGCCAACTAGGAGTTCTGCAAGTGGTCTTTTGGGCATATATAGGGTGTGTGTTAATGTATGTATATATACATATCTATTACTATAAACTCTCATCCTTGATCCCACTTCTGATTAATCACTGATAAAACAACAACAAACAAAACCCAAAACCTAAAATCAAAGAAAACCTAATTCTACAATATAGACAGGCTTTTAAAATTATACCCTCTCTGCTTTACTCCAAGCTTAGTGTTTTCTTTCCATTCCTGACATCAAGTCCTTTACTAAGGTGCTTTGTGTTTCAAACAAACTAATGTTCTTTATCCAGAATTTTCTAGAGTACTGTTTAGTATCACTTAAATTCCTCAGACGAAAATAACAAATAGTAATCAGGATAGAGAGTTGCAACAATTATCCCCTCCTAACCCCTTCAAGGCAAGGTCTCACCCAGGCTGGCCCAGAACTCACTATGCAGTGGAGGATGATCTAGAACCTGTGATCTCCTGCTTCTATTATAAACATGCGCCCACCTACAGCACAAACATCTTGATTCCTCTGTTACCAGACAGTGTGGTAAGAGATACAGCTTTCATGCTACAGACATAATAGTGAGCTGTTTCTCAGGGCTCACTATTGGTAGTAAAAGAGTAAAACATAAGCTTAAAAACACTTCCTAAGTGGATTATTTTTCCTTTCATAAATTGTTGGATTATTTCAAAGAGCGCTTTTTTTTTTTTTTAACATGGGGTCATCTAGTGGCATAATTAAAATGAATCAGAAAGGTCACGGTTAACAGTGAATGAATCCACTTGAGATTCAATGCAGGAAAGGAATTCTGCTTTGGTCAGGGTTGAAGTGGCAAAGGCTAAAGTGAGGATGGACCAAATAATAAGCTCTCTTCTCACCTGCAGCCAAATGAACCCTTCTATCTTACAAGTTGGTAGCTTAAGAGGAAATTTAGCTCACTCCCCATAGTTATATTAGGTCACAATTACTACAAACTTGTCTGTACTGACTGCTTTAAGTAAATGGGAAGCATTCTTTTCCTTAAGTAAACGGCTTTACAAGTCTTCCTGGCAAACATCCTCTGAGAGACTGGGATATCTACTAAAGAATTTCTCCCTTTCTGTATTGAAGTCTGCACAGAGTAGCACCTTTGCATTTCTAGCTGTCTGTGTATTACTGGCAGTGTTCTCCAAAAGCACCCTTTCTATGCACCAAACTTACTACCCCTCTTGTACTAGCTATGCTTTGATTGTTCAAATGAATCCATACACTCTTCACAGCCACCAACCACCATTCTATTCTTTCCTGCTGTATGCTTTCTCTATGGTGCATTGCTTGGGCTAAACTCCTTGCACCGTTCTCTCCTAGTTTCTGGACAGTGACCCAGGAAAATTACTCTGGAATACTTCAGAGTTTATAGTAACATATTACAAAGTCCTAAGATTGGATCCACAGAGTTATTCTTGTGGTTATATGAAATATATCTTAGCATTTCTTAACTCTGTATTGCTGTCCACTGATAAAGAGAAAAAAACAGAAACATGTTCTAGATAATCTGGAATGACCATCCTATAACAGAATACTGAATACCAAGCTTTTTTAAACAAAAAAAAAAACAAAAACAAAAAACTTGCGTCCACCTTTGCCCTTTAATTTTTTTTTCTCTTTAATTTTTTAACAGTGTTTCTTAAACTGGGCCAAGATGATGTACTCTTGAGAAGGCATGGCTTTTCAAATATTGTCCTAAAATGAGTTTTCAGATTAATGGAAAGAACCTAATGTGGTAAAGATTATGCTATCTTGTATTTCCTATTGGGAAGGTCTTTGTCATGAATTATAGTGAAAGGTTTAAATCAACACTGACTTCACCAGGATTTCATTTTAAAGGACAGATCTGGGTCTGAACTGGGGCAGCCAGATAGGAAGGTTCTGTCTTAAATCTTCAATGTCACAATGCAGAGTAAGTGGCAGTTCTCATAAATGACTAGCGAAGTTAGGGAAGTTGGATTAGCGTATAAGCCTACAAACATTCTATAACCATAACTTCTAGATACAGGAAAATAACTCTAAGTGTTGTAAGGGTCAGGAAATGAGGAACTAACGGACACAAGGATAATGAGAACAGACTTCTGATACCCAAGCATAGTTGTTAACATTAAAACAGTGCACACTACAATATTTTAATACCTTGGGTCTGAGCCTTTTTCTTCCTTTGAAGGCAATCATAATCTCCCCAAATGCACCTTATAAGTATTTATGTTAGTTGTTAAAGCAGTTTCATTTGCTAACACTTTTTACAGTTATAAACACTGCATGGCAATGTAAGAATGGAAAAGAAACTAAGTAAATAAAACCTCAAGAATTCCTCCTGGAACACTGAGCAAACTTTTAAAGACAGTGGGGTATCTGTTGGTATCTATCAAAAACGCAAAAGAAAACGGTAGCAAGTTAACTTGACTGTATCAGTGAAACCATGTTACATGTAAATCTGGTCCTTCAAGTTTGAACAAGTAAAGCTGTTTCATGCATTTAACATATTTTTTGAACTTTATACTAAAGAAAAAAATTTAAAAAGTTGACAGTATCAGTTAAGTGACTATAAATTAGTATGCTTTACTTATATTAAGAATGCAATATTGCCATGTACTAAAAGCTCCTTGAAGATATTTTTTCTTCAACCGTTCACTTTTCAACTGTTAAAAACATGCTTTTTACATAAAACAGAATGTAAACAATTCTGTATTAAATAATTTTTCTGCTTTTTCACTTATTATGTTCAAATACAGCCTGTCTTTACTTCTTTTGTCCTGTTGAGTTTTTAAATTAAGAAAGATTATTTTAGCCAGATGGTGGTGGTGCATGCCTTTAATCCTAGCATTCAGGAGGCAGGAGCAGGTGAATTAATGAGTTTGAGGCCAGCCTGGTCTACAGAGAAGGAGGAAGAAAGAAAGAAGATGATTAAGGAAGAAGGAGGTAGAGGAAGAAGAAAGAAGGAGGAAGATCTTTATGTAATACTTAATAATGTTTGTCACTTAATTCAAAATAAGTTTTCTCTTTTAGTCTAATACTTAGGGCACACATTTAAATTTTTCTTGAAGCATATAAAAATAATAAATATAAGTTAGATATGAAGGGATACATAGGTAATTAATTCTAGCACTTCAGAAGCTGATGCAGGAAGATCATTAAGTTTGAGGACAGAATGGGCTATACAGAGACCCTGTCTCTAAATAATCAATACATTAAATAAGATGTATTTAACACAGTGACTTTAAAGTTAACCATGTTTATTAGTAGCATGAAAGTAAGAAGATGCTAGGTCACTTGGCCTCGATGCATACAATATAGCCCTTACCTGATTTCCTTAACAACTAAGAACATGCCATAACAAACCATACTGCTAAGAACATGAGATTCCATTTCTGCTTAAACACTTCATTTATTAGGATTTCTCAGCTGGGAAAGAAAACTTAGCATTAATAATGTAGAAATATTCTCCAACAGGTAAAAATATGTGCCTGTCTTATTAGTCTTAACAATGTATAGCTTTCAAGACTAAAGCTCACTAAAATGAGTAAATGACGAAATTTAACCATTTAATGGAATTCCCTTCTAGTTGTTATTCAGCTGCTGTTTACAAAAATGACGTCTCATTAGGTAACTACATTCGCATGTCTGACCCTGCCCCTCCCCCAGTGGTAAAAGGAACCAAACCTAGGGTCTGCTAGGCAAGTTCTACCACTGAACAACATCGCCAGCCACCAATCCCACTATTTTAAAACAAGTTTTTTAAAATAAAAACTCTCATGATCAAGGATGAAGAGGACCTCAGAAAATCTAGAATGAAATAAATTCTTTGCATTACCAACAAATACAGAGACCTGATTTTAAGACTGGCTTCTGGGGCTGTGGAGATGGCAGAGCTAGCAAAGTGCTTGCTGTACAACCATGGTGACCCGAATTCAGGTTCCCAGGCTGAAAGCAGGGGAAGAAGAAAGCACCTGTAATCTCAGTACCAGAGAGACACAGGCAGATCTCTGGAATTTACTGGCCCGCCAGCACAGCCAATTTCAGATAAATGGCCATCGGTTTCTTAAAGTTCAGCTAGGAGAAAATAAACCAGCATATTCGGGGAAATACAGGTCAACTTCCACTCATTCAAACAATTCTAATTTTCTACTGCAATGTTTAAATGGATGAATGTCTACACCAAGTCGGAAAACAGCTCAATACACACAAGATTGTGAACATCAGATTCCAAACTGAAGGATTTCAAAATAACTTTAAAGAAGTCTACTATAACTACTATAACTGCAGATATGCATACATTTGCTTGTAGCCAGCAGCAGTTAATGCAGAGAGACTCAGAGTTAGTCAAGAGGTAAAGAACAACTGACTGCTTTAAACCACCCTTGTGAATCACCCCATCCAAGGTTCAGGGAACACCGAGGGAAGGGGATAGAGAGAATTAAGACATGAACAATAGGGAGAGAGGCTGTGAAATATGCCTTATGCTTACAACACTGTGGTCATGTCATTTAGGAAGTCACAACAGCTGTGGCGGACTGCATAGGGTATATACAACAATGAACCGAAATACAAACATTCACAGAGAGGGGCGGATCTCATGGGCCCTGCACCATCCACAGGAGTTAATGGCAATCTAGGGTTGCTGGAAGAAGTCAGTTGTCTTGAGTGATGTAGCTACTGGTGAGTCATTCACACTCCAGTGGATAGATTCACACCCATGCCCACAGTAGGGACCATGATTAAACCCAGTGAGACCCCAACTAAAAGCACAACAAAACAAAAGGACAGGAAACTGGGATAGGGACTTGATGGGTGGAAGAGAAGCTTTGAGAGGGCTTGGAGGAAGGCAAAATAAATAAATAAATAAATAAATAAATAAATAAATGGAAAAAATAAATTATTTTAAAAATAACACGTTTTATAAGAAAGGCTACTTAACAGTATTAAATTACACATTTTACAGAATACCATGCATAACTGCAGTGCACACATTATAAACACATTTATAAATTATATATACTTGTAAACACGTGATAAGATTATCCACAGAATAAAATAAATCAAAACTACATTTTAGAATGTCTAGGTATTGAAATTATTTACAATATATACATCATAAAATCACTAAATTAATTTGACCACAAACTCATATCCTGTGTGGGTATTTTTTTTTTTTTTGAGCCTCAAACTAGCTATATAATCAAGGATAATCTTGAACTCCTGATCTTCCTGACTCTACCTTCCATCACATCTAGCACAGTATCCCTTAAAATGAAAAAGATCTTTCTGATCTCAACTAAAAAGGTAAACTATCAGACCAAAATCACTATTCAGTGAGGCTCCTTTAATTTTTTTTTTTTTTTTGCCAGAAAGGCTTTCAAAAGAATTCTCAAGGAGCAATGCTTACATTCCTTCCAAGTTAATGAATATACATTGTTTAAACATAAGTAGACAGCATTGTATGATTATCAGGAGGCAGCTAGGAAGCAGTAAGCTCACAGGGACACTGTTCAGCCCACACATTTGCCATACCAGACATTCACATGCCAAATTCAAGCCATTCAATAGGGTTATGTTTCTTATGCTGAAAACAAAAAAATAAATATTTCTTAAGTAGAAGCAGAAAATAAGTCTCCACAATTGATTATGAATGAATTTATCATATAATGGACATAAAGAGAAGGGTGGCAACAGACCTTTGATGCTCACCTGATATGCCATTCTTGCTGGTGTTCAATAAAGCTACAGATGCTGCAGAAACCCTTCTACTGCTCACAGTCTGCCCTGGTTTTCTTGAGGTACATTCTTCATTTTCAATGTCCTGTACATTTAGCAGCCTTGGCTGGAAACACTGTAGTCGACATGATCTGATATTGCTTAATATTTCAGAAAGGGACAGTCTATTTTCACAAGGTTTACTGGAAGCATTGGTCCGAGAAAAATTAGAAGAAAAGTCTATAGTTTGGGAAGAGCTTGAAGAACCATTCAGCATCTCAGGGTCTATCTGTTTGAGGACTGGGTCATGTTCTGTAGATATTCGGTCCATTATGACCCTGTAAAGCAATAAGACATACATGTCCATGTGTATATCACATATTAAATACATAGCTGTTTTTTTAATCACTTCCCTTTCAGCTAGAAAATGAAAACAAGGTCAAAGTAGCTTACCTTCCACCTCTGCCAATTCGCCTCCGTGCAAACCCTATACATCTTCTTGGAACTGTAAGTGTTGTAAGACAATGCTTATACCTCAACTTATCCAGGTCTGCCAGCTCTGAATTTTCACACGTATGGTCCAAACGAGGCTGTAAAGAGAGAGAGAGAAAATAGAGTAATTATGAAAGAAAGAAAAGTTAAATCATGATAGAAATGACTGAAGGTAGTATCAGGAGAATAACCAAAATTAAGATGAAAAACTGTAAAACTGGGGTTTAAATGTATTAATTAAACCAGTTAAAATTTATAAAATTATATAAGAAGTTTCCTGTTCAAATTATTTATACCAGATACATTTAGTAATGCATTTTAAAAAACCAAAGAAGAATATATCTTAGTATTTATTTATATACAGGGAGTAGATAAAATTATTAATTAATTTTTTTTGTGATAAACTAGAATGCATTTTTTTCAGGGGGGTGTGCTAGAGACAACAAAAACTTGAAGTGTATGCACAGGTTAAGCTTAAGCTTTCTCATTACTTTTAAAGAATGCAGAGCCTATTTCTTGGCCTTCCCATTATATGTATCATTCTGTTTTTCTGTCTTACCACTTTGTCACCCTTCCACAGTAGTCTTATCTTCTTTTATCGTTCTAACTTGAGGACAAATCCCCACCCTTCCTACATTAAGTCTACTTCCCAAAAAGTTGTCTATCTGTACACACAACAATGCAATCACATGGTTTCTATAAACCATGTTAAAAGGGTAAAACCACCTTCATGCTCTATAGCACCATGTTTAATGGCATTAGTATTGGAAAGTCAAGGTCATTCTCTCAACACTGCACCCAAAATATGACACTAATAACAAGAGGTTTCTAAATGTGTCTGAAATTTATGGATACAATTATAAGACAACACTCTCATGAAAGAAGTTTAAAAATTATACTTACAGGGTATTTTATACTACACACACAAACACACACACAATTTCAGTGAAAATCTAGAAACCACCAAAGTTCCAAAAACTACTTAGACATGTGCAATTTTCAAAATTGCTAAAGCTAGAATTAAAGTTCCAAATGAAATAATTTTTAAAATATAAATTGTCTATTTCCAAGTAAAGGATTCTAATATCCTTTGAAAGAATTTGGTATCTTCCATCTATTTTTGTTGGTACTGACACATTACAGGAGACATTAAATAAAAATACAGATGCACTTCCCACTTTTAGATTCAGCCTAAGTTACCTTGATACGAATGCTCTCTTAATTCCAGCTCACAAAAATATCACAAAAAAACAAAGTTCTTACAGCATAATACTGGCATCCTGCCCTCCTTCTGAAAGCACAGGGACCATCGGGATCATTTTCTTCCTCAGGTTCTGATGCTGGAGATGGTACCTGGATAAAACAGGTGTTCTATTTAGCAGTTATCAAGTTAACTGAAGAATGTACATAATGATCAAAAATAAAATCAGATCACAACACACCTGCCTACGTCCAGTGGGTAGTTAATTTGTCTTAAACATTTAATAACTGGTAAATGTTTTCTGTGGATATAAATCCATATTTTTAAGATTCACTCTTGCATCTAAGTACACATGGTATTGTCTTCCTGTTTCTGAACGTAAAGGCTAGACTTAAAAATGATATGTTTATATATCCCATTTTTCTAAACTGTGTAGTCTATAAATACTTGATGACAATTATGCTTCCCCTATCAGTAGTTGTATTTTTATCTGGAAACTTCTTTCTATAATACAAGTAAAATGGTAGAAAATCGAGGGTATTAGATTCCTGGGAACCAGAGAAATAGCAGTGAGGCACATTGTAGGTATTGGAAATAAACCCAGGTCCTCTTTAAGAGTAACAAATGATCTTAACCACTGAACCATCTTTCTAGCCCTTTAAATCTGTGCTTAAACCTAACAGGTCAGAAACAAAATAGAAGACAGACATTTGCTAAATTATAAACAGATTCGTTGCTGAGAAAAAGCTTAAGACCACAACAGTAAAGTATAAAGACTTGAGTTGCTACATTAAAAAGGATTTTGCCAGGACCAGATGCTACCAGTCAAATATCCTTATATAATCTGATGGGGACTCCTAGGACAGCATTGACTCACTAGAGCACAATTTATGTCATAAAAACAGTGTAAGTGACATGCAAAATATACTTTGATACATCAGAGAAACAATAAATATAAACATCCTCTTTAATAGTTAAATACCATAAAAACCTTAGCACTTAAGTTTTCGTTGTCTTACTTTACTTTGCAGTACATCTTTTTCTCACAAATGTCTGCTTAATCATATTTACTTGGCAGTTTTAAAATCACAAATCCTTTATTCCTTTTTAGAGAGGATTTTCTTTTCTCCACATTAATTGCAAACTGCGTCACCTTGGGAAAAGGGCATTTGTTTAAGCTTTCAATAGCTGTTCAATTGCCCACAGAGGAGAAAGGCACAGAGAGCCAAGGTTAATTCTCCTTCCTGAGGTATCAATTCACAACTCAAAACTATAAAGAAACCTTAACTTTACATTTTGATTCCTTTGCAAGTATCTAACTCTTCTAAAACAGATAAGAAGTGATATGAAGTATCCAACAATTCTTTGCATGAAGCACTTCTTCCCAACTCACTCTCTAGGGAAATACTCCAACATGCACAGAAATGTAGCACCATAGAGCGATGATGACAGTAGGACCGTAAGTATAATCAAAGTAGGCATAGGCCTTCTTCCCAACTACAATATTGTTAGTCAGCCTGGCTACAATGCTCTCTTAAAGTTATTTAATCCCTTGTTCCTTTTCTACTGGACAACATGCTATCTTTTCCTATGTATCCTGAAATCTACCCCTGGGAGAATTTACAAGAAGAATTTAGACATCACATTATTTAGTGATGCCAAGGAACAGGCAAGCAGTCCTCAGTAACGTGAAAATACCATTAAAAACTAATGAAAGTTGACTAAGACTTAGTAAAAGGTTCCAGAAAACCCTAAAAGTTGTATAATGCAATTTTAATGTGGGGATGGAGGCTGGGGATTATGTGAATAAATATAAAAATTCTGAGCTGAAATGAAGATTCCCTGATATACGAGAAATGTATGCTGAGTGAGCCTTTATCTAAGGCAGTGGATGGAATAGCAATCAGGAACACATTCCCCTTATGGTTACAGTGTCTCATGGCATCCTTTTTATAGAACACAGAGCATATGCAAGACTTTCTAGGTTCTCACAAGTACTGACAGCAACCTACTCTGCAAGTTTTACATGCATTATTTAACCATGTCATTTTCTGACTTAAGCTTTTAATAATTTCCCATTTGCCTACTCTTAATACCTTATCCCTTCCACCATTTCCTCTCTCTTCTGACTTCAGCAATGCCAAACTGTCACATTTATCTCACAATGCTGAATCTCTGCTTCCAGCGTCTTTATTTCCTCTACATGGAAGAACTTGATAGATTCACTATTTGTTACATTTTTCATTTCTTCAAAATCGTCATCTGATGACCGTTCTATGCCTGCAAATGGTTACCCAAGACTAACTGGACAATTCTTCTGACAAATGTAATGACTGGTTTAATTAAGTGGTTCCCAGTAACATATAAAATAAAGCACATTTTTGTGCATTTATTAATACATATGAATACCAGAATATCATTTGGGGGAGAAAAGTCAGTGACAGGGCAAAAAAATAATATAGCCACAGGAGGCACATTTTTATGAACTGGGATTTTAAATGGCTCGAACAATAAAAGTCTTTACAAGCAGTCTTGTAAAGTTGATGTTGGCTTTTAAAAGAAAAGTGATTTTAAGTAAATAAAAATATTAAAATATGACACATCTGATAGCAGATTCAAGCTTTTACAGTATTTCCTTTTGAATGCTTTCTATATTATAATATAGAAAGAAAAATAGATTACTGTCAGGCCAGGTGCTTTGTGAAAAATAACCTGATCCTTTAATATATAAAATAAAAATATGTTTTAAAAATAACACTGATGAAATGAAATTCAAAAAATTAATCCTAAATACTTTGCTATGAAACTGTCGAATAGTTGACAAGTTTTCACAAGTAAAAACTTTATTTAGTTCTTTTAAATCTTCTTTAAAGTAAAATAGCTATTACTTGACAAATAAATAAAATTTACATTAAATATAAAAAACTATCATGTTGGTAGAATTTGACAGAAAGTGAACTACTGGTAAATATTTGTACTCATGTTTAAATGTTTTCAAATACCAACATCTTGGACTCAGTAACGTTATTTCTAAAAGGCCACTTTACCAACAGGAAGAAGACAAAGATGCTTGTTTTTATAAAAGGGGAAACCTGAAACTATCCAAATGTCCCACAGAACACATCTCTACAGCTGACAGAAAAACCAGAGTAAACACTGAGTGGCAACATGTGTGTATCCATGTACACTCATGAATATGTAGAAAATGTTTTATACCACTATGTGAGCAAAGCAGAAGCACGACTAGGATGCCAATTACGTTGCAAAATACAGCAAACAAAAGAGTAGGAGGACATGTGTTTAAAACAGTTTCAAACAAGCACCTGTGGAAATTCATCTTCATCTGAGCTCTGAAAGTCATATTGCTTAATGTCACTCTTATTGATCACAGGCAATGTCTCAGGAGTGGGCTGCGGAGGAGCTATCACAGCCTCTGCCTTAGGCTTCTTTGGGTACTTCTTCTTTTGACGAACCACGTCAGAAGCCTCTTCTTTCAAAGACAAATGATGAGGGTGCTGTTTACGTGTCGGATTTTCCCCCAAAAGGAAGAAATGAAAATCATTTTAGAAGTCATGAAAAACTATGCTGCTCTTTGAAAAACATACACTTTTCTTTAGGAGTTAATCTGAATTATTGTTTTAAGTATGAAAACTTTATTATGGCCATAAACTGAAACATGATTTAGATTTACTTTCTGTAATTTATAATGAAAAATAATTATGGTGTTAAAGTTTGTTTTTATAAATAGTTTTAGATTGTTATATTATCAAACCATTCAGTGTTTTAAAGTATTTAAATTTAATTCTTAGTTAAATCCACTGTGCTGGTGAACAAAATTCATTACTTTATTTTAAAAGTAACTGAATAGATCACAAAGTTATTAATTTAGTTCTGCACTTATGTCCAATTTTAAAACTGTCTACCTGTGGTAATCTTTTGAGAAAAATAAGCTTATGAGCTAAACAAACACTTTCATTTTTTACAACATATAATTATTGCCTTGACTGAACAATAATCAAATGGTCCTCAAGTACCCCAGGGTTCTGTGGAGTCCATCTGGCAAAGGGGCCTACTGAAGGGCTGGGCCCTCCTTCTTTCCACAAAGCAGAGACCTGTTTCTGTTTTATACACTGGCTGGTATTGCTTTTGATAAAGGGAGAACTGCCACTTAAAAAAAAATGCTGGAAAGACTGTTCTGAGCAACAAAGAAAAAACAATATTAAAAGTGTAAAATTATTAAGGAAATTATATATTGAATCATATAGCCAAGATATTAAAATTACCTTAGAATGAGAAACAGTGCACACATCAGAAATGCTGATTGAGGGACAGATCATACTTAGTGAAATATAAGCTGCTTGACAGAGATGGATAATTGGGTATAAACTATTAGATCAAAAGGAAAACTCCAAATTCTCAGTAATTCTTCATGTTTTAAGGTAGGATGAATGAAAATTAAATATAGTAACTATGTGTGCAGGGTAAGACAATAATATATTACACTGTGTCTCTAAAAATAATAGGCTATTCCTATTTACTTAGATAAGATCTAAAGATTGATTCAACGTAATTCTGAGTTAAAATTTTATATTCAAATGCTTAGTAATCATACTCTTAGGAAAGGCTCTGACTAATACAAGGTGGAAAAAAAGATTTGAAAAGTAGTTTTCAAAGTGACATTTGTTGCTGCTAACTTTTTTTGACTATCTTTGTGAGTGTGATTCAAAGGGAATTCGATGTGGGCTAGATGCCTGTGATTAATAAGAACCTGCTGGTTGAACTGACATGAGTTGAATGAGGAGGAGTCATACTGCTCCACATTCTTCCTTGGTGTTTAAAAATGAACCCATAAAAAACAATGACATTTTTAAAAGATGAATTTTCCACAAACACCCCAAGTCACTTATAAAATCTTGCTGCAGAGTAGTCTCTACTTACTGTTCAGATGCTTCAGGTCAATGCTTATCTAAACTTATTATTAAAGGCTCTATGAATTTTTACATACCCAAGTTAAATAATACTTGAATACAGCAAATGAGCACTAAATAAAAACAATTCTTTAACCTAAAAATAAAATGTTCACCAAGGCTAGCTCTTTTACTTGGAATAAGCCATATTCCAGAACGTAGAGGACTTTCTAAAGTCAACCAAGGTATGTAACTGGCAAATGCTGGTTCTGGCAATGACCCTGTTCTCTACAGAAGCAGACAGCACATCAAAACAATGAACTTTGGTAGACATGACCTCAAACTGTAATGTAAACACTAGCTATGAGCTAGTGTCACAGAGGTAGAGTACTGGAGGTGACTAACAGGTCAGCTATATTTAAAGACCTCACTTAGAGTAGTGACATGACAACAAACCATGCCGTTTACTTCCTTCCTTCACCACCATATTATGTGATTAATATTACCACCCATGATTCTCTCCAAAGAATTATTTACCTTAGTTTTACATTCTTGAACTTTGTGATGGTTTCCATTATGAAGAGTTGCTGGCGTGGCATATAACTCTTTTTCCGATCTATTAACTTTTACTTCATTAAGGATTTCACCCCCATAGTCTCCCAGATGATATCTTGAAAAGATAATAAAGTGTAAGAAAATAAAGCAGAGTTTAATGATTAAGGAAAACATATTAAAAATTATGGCATTTAAAGTAACTGTTTTCTGTTTTTTGAGACAGGGATTCTCTGTGTAGCTTCGGAGCCTGGCCTGGAACTCACTCTGTAGACCAGGCTGGTCTCCAACTCACAGAGATCTGCCTGCTTCTGCTTTCCAAGCACTGGGATTAAAGGCGTGCGCTACCATCGCCAGGCCATTTTAGGTAATTGAATGAGCAAAATAGAACTATCAATTTGGGGGGATGGGAAGGGGTGAGACAGAGCCTCAAGTGTCCAAGTGGCCTCAAACTTGCTTCAACTCCTGATCTTCCTGTGTCAACCTCAACTGCTCAGATTTCAGGTATGGACCACCAAGCCTAGCTTTAGGGTATCAGATTATTGTTAAGAAAAAAGTTACAGAAACAACAAACTTTATATTTAAAATCCAGTTAAAAACACAACAAGAAACTTAAAATGTCTAAGGCATATGATAAATGAATTTCTCACATAAAGTACTTTTTAATCAGGCACTGAGAATATTCCTTAGAATGTTTACTTCAGCTCCCTAAAAGGTAATGGAACTTCAGTCTATTTAATTATGCAGGAAAATATTTTGTAGATACTAATTCTGAAGAATAGAAACAGGAAATTTTGCCTTTCAACCATTCATTTCCTTTAAACAGTGTTGAATATAAAGAAAAGGGCAAAATAATCCCTCGGTTTTGTTAAAAAAAAAAAAGTACAATGATTCTGAAAATATCTAAAAAGATTAATTCTCTATACCAAAATTCTCCCAAATGAAATCTAAACCATAGCACGTTTATTTTATAAACAACTAGTTACTACAAATGTAAGCTAAAAATGAAATTCCACTATACAATCACTCTCTACGGACATAAAGCCTGGCTAGCATGGCCCTAGTATGAACAGTGGCAATGTTACCTTTTCTCCACCACTTCCAGAGTTAAGTGCAATAATTCCCTTTTGGTTTTCTCTCTTCTCTTAATCATTTCCAAAATTGTTATGGCTCTGCTGAACTCCCGCCTCAGCTTCAGCATCTTTTCATAAGAGGCTTCATCATTCTTACGGTTCTTTGGAAATAATAACAATTTTAGAGAATAATGAAATTACCCATGTTTCCAGTTTCATTTAACAAGCTCTTACTAAATCTGAGTAAGTTTTAAATTATTAAAACAAACAAATACCCAAATAGCAACTCCATAAGAACTCATCTGTTTAACTTCGAAAATTTATGTATGTTGATAACTAATGGCACAAAAAGAATAATTCCAATATAGAAAAAAATCCAACAGACACAAAATGTAGTATATAAAAATTATGAAATCCTTTTACTGCAGTAACATGCTACCCAATGATAAAAATAGACTAAGTCTATATACTCGAGAAAAATGACAAAGCTTCACTTCTAGCAACTCAGAAAACTAAAAATAGTACATTGATAGCACCTCAAAAAATGGCATTCTCATGCTTTGATAGATACATCATTGAAGGGGATGAAAGAGATCTAGCAAAAACTTTAGACTTCAAAACATTGGTAACTTTTAACTTTTAAGCATAAAACATAACTTCAATAAAAGATGGTTTCATTGTAATAAGCAGCAGTCATCAGAATATAAAATCCCCAGTGACGTGTGCTCTCAGTCCATGTCCCCACAGTGTCTGACTTATACAGAGCCACATTAAATACAGACCCTTACTACTTCTCATCTAATACTGTCTGCTAGGCAGACCTACACTTATGCAATCTTCTCACTCTTGAGTTAACAACTAAATATAATATTAGAAAGAATCTGAAGAATATCAAAGGTTTACAAGAGATTATGAATGAAAATATTAAGTCCTGAGTTTTATTTTTCTTTTTTTGCATAGTTCCTTGGACTTGGAAAAATATTCCTCTACTGAAAATAGCATAATTCATATTCCTTTGTTACTGCATATGGAGTATTTTTAAATGCTAACAGATTATCTTATTTTATCAAAAGAAAATTGACCTTATCTCCCTCCCCCACATCAGTACTCAGTAACAAAAGATAGCATGTAGAGCATAGTTGTAAGCAATTTTGGAGGGTAAATGGGAAATAATTTTTAACTGAAAAAAAAATGAACACAATCAACAGCAAACATTAAAATGCCTACTATTCTGCTAATATTCTGTGTGCTTCCCAAATGTGCACAAGAGATACAAAGAATCAAAAAGTGAACATTCAAGATGCCACACCCACTTAAATTATTACCCTTCTTAGCCTTTTCTTTTCTTTGCTGTCTGTTCTACTCTTCAAAACATTATTTATTTTAAAATGATTTCAAACATACAAAGTTACAAAAATAGCACAAATATTTTCCATGGATATTTAACCAGATCTTCCAAAGGTTTAAAGTTTAACTACTTTTTTTTAAATCTCTAGTTAGGTGTATAAATATACACAATATTTGCAGTATTTTCCAAATTTGAGATGAACAAATGTCCCTTAATATTCTAATCTGCTTTTCCAAAAATAATGTTTTTATATAATCACAGCAGAGCAACCAAAATCCGGAAACTAAGATCAATAGAAAATTAGTGAGACGGTAATTTTCAAAATTAATTTTTAAGTTTGACTCCAAGGTTAAAGACAGTTTTTAGTTCCTATGCTTCTATACTCTATTTGGACAAGTTCCTTTTTCTGTGATCATCATGACCCCATTTTTTAAATGGAGAATATTTATTTTTATAGTGTATTCTTCAATTTAAGTTTCATTGATGTTTCCCATGATTACATTCAGGTTGTATGTTTTTCACATAATTAACACAGAAATGATACTGACTCTGTCTCACCCTATCAAGAGTTAGATAACACAATTTGTCCTCTTATTGCTGATTACTCAATTAGGATGGTGCCAGTCAGGTTTACCTGCTAAAATATTATTTTCTCTTTTAAACTAACCTAGTATGCTGTATAATTACATAAGCATTTTTTGTCATTAAATTTTTTTTCTCACGAGTTTAATGTTCAATGGTTCTTTCACCTGGAGTAATTATTAGTATTATGGCTGCCAAATGGTGAAGTTTAAACTATTTCTGTTGATTTTTTAAAGTTATGTATGACATCTAAAAAAAATGTAATAAATGGATAAAGAAAAAGCACATATACATAGTGAAACTATTTTCAGCTATAAAAATGAAATTAAGTTTAAAAGAAAATGAATAAAATTAGAGATCATTATGTTAAATAAAATAAGCCAGGACTCAGAAAGACAAATACATTTCCTCCAATGTGTAGAATCTAGATTTAAATTTGTGTGTACACAGATGTGTACATATGCAGTCATGACAACAAAAAGAGGATGAGTAGATCTTGAAGGGAGGCATTAATATATGTGACAAAGAACACAAGGGAAGACTGGTTGTTTGAAAGAAAATGGCCCCCAAAAGGAATGGCACTATTAGGAAGTGTGGCCTTGTTGGAGGAAGTGTGTCAACGTAGGGGCAGACTTTGAGGTCTCTTGTTCAAGCTTCCAGTATGTGTCAGTCGACTTCCTGTTGTTTGCAAGATGTTGGACTTTCAACTCCTCCAGCACTACAGCTGCTTACATGCCACCATGCTCACTGCCATGCTGATATTGAACTAAACTTCTGAAACTTTAAGCAAGCCCTCTCAATTATGTGTTTTCCTTATAAGAGTTGCCATGGTCATGGTGTCTCTTCACAGCAATAGAAACCCTAAGACAAAGACTATCTGCAGGTGTTAAGAAGAGGACCAGCAGGTGGAGAACAGTATTAGGAATGGGGGAAGACAGCACAAAGACAAACATGAAACTCATCACTTTGAGTATTGACTTAAAAACATTTACATGTACCCAGTCTCCACCTTAACCTCCCATTTATCTAACTATGGGCTCACGGGCTATTCTATGAGTTATGATTCATTACTCTCATTATTTTGATGCTTAAACTTTCCCAGATCTCTTCAGGTCGGCTCCTATGTCCTACTATGGCTCCAAGGTTATTTTCTTGCACAGCAGTATTGTTCTCCCAGGCTTGTCTTTATGCTTCATCAATATTAAAAACAAGTTCACACTGACACTGTTTCTGTTCTCTTCAAATGGCCTTACTCTCTAGTTTCTTTTTTTTTTTTTTTTACTCTCTAGTTTCTAACTCTTTACCCCTTCTTATAACTGTCTCAGCGCCAACTCGTGCTTCTTTTGAAAAACCTTTTCATTTATGTTTTATTTTATCTTAATGGTATGTGTGTGCACCTATGTATATATGAATGCAGGTGTCCACAGAAGCCCCAGTGTTGAGTCATCCTGGGATTGAAGTTACGTAAGTTGTAAACTGCAAGCCAAACTTAGGTCTTCTCTAAGAGCAGCAAGTGCTTTTAACTGCTCCATCTCTCCAGCTCCTCAGGATTAACTCTTCTTATGCAGCTAAAAATTATACTTCTGTACCTACCATCAAATCCCTAGGGAAGTGATTTTTAAACTGCTGTCATTTGAAATCAACTGCAGATCTTTTTGTAATAAAAGATGATTCACAGATGATTGATGTGCACAGGTAGAACTGGGAACCTGGGAGTTTCCTTTCTCACCCAATTATTTTTTCTGAGTAAGTGGTAGACAGATGGCACAGGCAATAAATAAGACTGTATCTATGTAGTTAACATATTAAATACACGTGTTGGTTAGGACTTTCTAACCAGTACATTCAGATAAGATCATCTGATGTAAAAACGTCCTAAAGCACTTATTAATGTCCAAGTTAATTTTAGTTCAGTGACTTATGGCTAAATTCTAGACTGCCATGCAAGCACTGTTGTGCAAACAGTAGTCCTTTTGACCTCTAAACAAGGTATAAGTGTTTTCTAGTTTATTTAATGAAGCAAAGAAAGGGAACAAGGCCCCATGACCAACAGTATTATCCCCCCATGCCCCACCCTGCCCACCTCTTCTGTACCTAGTGTGCATGATCTATGAAGCACTTCCCCATCTTTCTAATTTTGAAACACAATAAACGTTTGTTGATAGCACACAGTGCGTGGCAGAGATAATCCATCTAGTCTACAACTGGAGAAGAATGAAAAGCAATGAGTACTGAAAAGGAAAATGTAGTACCCTACAGAGGAAAATGAAAATAGTGAGCTAGACAAAGGTGAGAAGCAAAGTCAGGAAAAATTGGTTTGGTGATTGTGGGGTGGTGACATGCCAAATTTAAGAAACAATTACTAGTAATTTTTACAATACACAGCTGAAAAAGAACAAAGTACACTTTTACATCAGGAATGTCACTTATATGCAAATAAATCATCAATTCCAAAGCTTTCCCACCTTCTCACTAGAAGAAGCACAATCCCACTTTCCCTCAAGAAACGATCATTAACAGTCATGTTCACGGTGTAACCCAATCAACAACACTGCTTTCAAAAGACAACTTCAGATTGCCCATGCTGACAAGCCTTTCTTCACAGCCAGTCCACATGCAAACAGTTACTGTGGTCACAAATTTAACTCATCTCAATCTTTTCTAATTAAGATGTTACAACCCCCAAATCCTTAGCTCTTCTCTGTTAAAACTGGGGCACTAAACTACGAAATAGGTCTGTGCTAGTGACAGCCATATATTATTGGGAAATCCATCCTCTTATGTTTAGGAAAACCACATTCATAAAAAAAAAAACTCATACAAAAATTCTAATTATTAACCAGTAGGAGAGTTTTTCCTAAAATAATACAAATCCTGGCATCTGCTGTACTTCACAGCTATTATATTAACAGCTGACAAAGATAAGCTTTCAATGTCAACAGAAACAAGAATCCACAGAAAATGCTTTGTTCCAAATTATAATTCTTCAGTTTTTATCTAAAGTGTTCCTGTTTTCTTGTGAAGTTAACAGACTATGATGCCATATGTTGTATTTACTGTTCCTTCCTTATGATAAATGCAAGTCAGCGAACAATCCTCTGAAACAATACTTCCATTTTTATTTTTAATATATCACTCCACAGCCCAAAATTTTAGTTCTCTTAAATTCTGACTCACACTTCTGGAATTCAGATGTAGACATGTCTGTTAATTTATAATCTGACACAACTGAAAATTAAGAAAGTGAGGAAAAGATGCCATTGTTACTTTTGGTAATTTTCAGAACAGGTTTGAAAGAAGTTTTCCTTACTTCCTAAAAGACCATAAAACTTAAAGGCAACAAGACCATTTTCAATTGTACAAACAAGAATGCCATTTCAAAACTCCCCAGCAACCAAGGAAAAGTAGTGTTCAGATTCGTAGCTTCTCCAATAGAAGTGATTCATAAGTGAACTCAAAACCTGCAAGTGTATAGTCACACACAGCTTTTCCTATACTTACAACTGGAAGTCGAAACGAGTTATTAACAGATTGCTAAGGCAGGCATTTAACAAATGCTCAAAAGATCAACTGAAAGGCAGGCTTTCAGGTCATCAGTGTCACGGTTTTCTAGTAAACACAATCAAACTACAGTCAATGAAATACAATGTGGATATTACCTTCCGAGTCTGCATTTTCTCCGTTCTCCTCCGAAATGCAACGTAAGGATCATTGTTAGTAGAGCCATCTCTTTTCTCTTGCTTAATCTGGGGGATGAGGGATGGCCCCCTGCAGTTTTTCCGCTTTCTTACCCAGTAGTCATATACAGCTTTAATAAGGTAATCGTCTTCATTTAGCAGCAGTTTTGCTTCTTGAAGTGTTACAAGCTAAACAGAAAGCACAAGATGTCATCAAGGGCAATGCTGAGAAAGAAATCAGTTTAAGCTACAGCAACTGAAGAAAATGTGATCCATTTAAATAATTACAATTAGATATTGGAGTTGCTGGTGAAGATGTAATTCTATTCAACCTAACAAAATACACCTAAGTCGGGATGCTATTTTAAAAAAAAAAAAAAATCAGTATTTTGCCCAGGTGGTTCTACTATTTAAAATATTTGATAAGGGGCTCAGGACATGGGGTTCAGTAAGGAACTACAAATAGAAAGACAGAGGGTCACTGAAGAAGAAAGCAGTTGTAAACCTCTAGACTATACACACTCACACACACGCATACATACAAACACGTACATACACATACATGCAAATATTTAACGAAGTTAGACAAGTGATACTTGGAAGGACTACCATTGATATATCTTGTATAAATGATGGAATAGAAGATACCTAGAAGTCTTCCCATTTTCTGATATAAGAAGATTCTACAACATTTGAACTTGGCTAGTTACAAGTTTATTAGCATCTATCTATCTGTTTGGTTTTCAGTAGAAACTAGAAGATATGAATTTCTTTTTATCTACCTTCAAAATATACTGTAATGACTATTTTGAAACTGATAAATAAAAGGACAGATTTCAAAATTATGCAAGTTTTGAATCCTTTGTACGAATTACATATAAAAGTAACTCCACTAGTAGAGCTGGCTAAACGCTAGAAAACTCTTGTTCTCAACACTTCCGGTTCAAGATACTGACATAAAGCTGATGTACCTCAAAATTAAAATGTATAAAAATTTGCTTAACCGTATATAGTACTTTGGTCCTTGAGAAGACCAGACCAGTCACTCACTTTTTAGCAGAATGTAATGGGGGTGCCACTTACTTAAATGAACTATAAATTAGAAAAACATAATGCCATTTTAAGGCTGGGAAGCCTTGCTGAAGTGATACCACCCAAGTCACTTTAGAGAAGAGTCTTTTTTCACAAGTTGAGATAGAACCTAAGACATGTTCCCTGGAAGTCAAAAATAAGCAGGGAATTTTCTCACTAATATTACACATTGATCTGTATGCTATATATAGTCATTCAAAAAGATGACTCAACAAAACATTTCTCATATGAGTTCCTGTGTTGACATAGCTTGACGGAATAAATGCACTGATCACTGCTTTCCCTAAATCTATGCAGTGACTCTGAGTTGAGTAACTGGTCCATTATAATTCGGCTGCCCTACCATATACATGCATATATACACACACAAGCACACACACAACTCTTCCTATTGCTACAGCTGGAAGTCTAAACTAATAATGATAAGGTTGCTAGGACATGCGAAACAAATACTGTAAACACATGGTCAAAAGATCAACTGAGGAGTAAGCTTTCAGCAGCTCTTCAATGTCACTGTGCTCAAATGACTAATGATAGCAAACACTACCAAGCTCCACTCAGCCAAACCATTAAAACCTTGCTGTATCACTTCAACGTTTCCCAGCCTCAAAACAACATAATCTTTTTGTAATTTAGAGATCACTGTAAGCAACTGACACCTGCATTGCATTCTGCCAAAAAGCTAAATGAATGGTCTGATCTTCTCAAAGAATAAAGCAGTATATATGATTAAGCAAATTGTTTACACATTTATTTACAGGTACATCAGCATTATTCTGGCTGAATTCATAAAAGAGAAATAAACCCTTTAAAGACTATGTCAGAGCTCTTATGGAAAGCATTTGTCACAAACACGATGATATCTTGAACCAGGGAACAGTTAAGAACGAGAAATTTCTTGTATTAAGCCAGCCCGAGTATTGGGTTTACTTTTATATATGCAATTCATACAAGGAAGAGAATATACTAATAATAAACACATGTATTCCAGTCCATGTGACAACTGAGTATAAAAAAGGACTAGCATTTCTAAACATGATCTTTTCTTAAAGTTATTTTAAAAATTATGTTTATTTAACTTGTATGAGTCTATGTAAATGAAGGCCTGAGCATGCCATTGCTCCTGTGTGGAGGCAGAGGACAATTTGCCGGAGTAGGTTCTCAATTTCCACCTTGTTGAGGCAGGGCCTTGTTTCTGCTGCTGCACTGTGAACTCTAGGTTAGCAAGCATGTGAGCAAGCTTCTAAGTAAATTTCCTGTCTCTACCTACCATCCTATAGGTATCAGGATTACAGATTAAGGCCACTGCATTTGAGTTCTGAGAACTGAACGATCAGACTTGTTGCTGCTTTTACCTGCTAGCCATTCCCCTGACCCTCTAAACATGACCTTAGATCGCTTCAAATTGTTAAAAACGTTCTTGGAATGGTAACATAGAGTACTAAAGTCTACAAGAACAGGACTAGAACAAGAACTGAGCTTTCTCTCCGATTTCTTTGTACATCTATGTGTCCTTGGGAGAGTGTAGTAGATTGAATTTAGGACCTAACGCAGGCTAGGTGAGTGCTTATCTACAGACCTACACACTATTGTCCAGAGCAGACTTCCTAAAGCTCATAACATCCTACTTCACACTGACAGCATCACAGCAGCACCATGGGCTGCTCTCGTGTTCTAGAAGCCAGGAAAAACAATGCTGTGCTATGTTGTATGCTTTGCAATCTTTGCTATTAAATCAACAAGTAGAATGAGGAGGAGAACAAGAGCTCCTTTCCAGTCAACAGACCAATAGAGATTCCTATCCCACACCACACTGACTACTTTCTATGCTCCTGCATGTGCCAGAAGACTAAACCATCTCCATTTACTCCTCCTTTCTGGTGCTCTTTGCTCCAGCTTACAATGTCCTTTTGTTTTCTTTTTAAATATCCTATAGTACAACTAATAATTTAACATATAATTTATAGTTAAACACTGACATTTTCCCAATGTCAGCTATATTTTACAAAAATCTATAAAATCAAACCTCCATGCCATTTACTTATTGGTGCTTGTTGACGTGTGGTCCTCAGTTCCTCACTGATGCAGTTACAGGTAGGCACGAGTATGCTGGGCTTTTCCTACCACTTTGAGAGAATTTTAAAAAACTCCTATAACTTAGCATGCACTTTAGTCACTAAAAAGCAGTGGGAGTAAGTAGGGGCTGGAAAAAGGTCTGCAGTAAATTTGCTCTGAGCTGCCTGGTCACCTGGGTATCAACAGACAGGAGGAAACTACAAGCTCTGTGGTATCAAGGACCATTAAGTTTGCTGGCAGATAAAAACCCAAGGCCTTGCAGTGTCAATATATTTTGAGTAAACAAATAAATTACAAAAGAAAATTGAAGTTTTTTTTATTTACAGAAGTAAATTGGGCAAAAAGGAAATATTACCAGCTCACCATTAGTTCAGATTGTAGAGAAGGGGAAAATAAACTAAGATAAATTCTCTAGCTGAAGAAACTTACAAAATGTAAATAAAAGCAAGAAAAACACAAAGCTGAAAGAGAATTTAGGAATTTTAGAATAGATTATTGGTGAAATCAGATACAGGCAGACAGTGCAGGAGCTCTTCCTCTGGGAGAGGTTACATTTCTTTTCTGTGAGGGTGACTCACTACAGACCATCTTGTCTTACCTTTCTTTTTCCAAATCTGCTGGTATAACTATAATTATCTACATTAAATTTAAAGTGCTAAATGGTATTTTTTTACTTTATGTTCTTCAAGAATGAGCAATAAAGGTTGGTTTACATTGAACATAGTGAAGGATGACATAATTTTATGTAGATAACACAATAAACATTTCTACTTATCAAATGACTCCAAATACACAACTATGGAAAGCCAATGCAAGGAAAAAATATCAGCATTCAATTAAGTAGAAATATACACTGTAACACACTAAGTAATATACATGTATTAAATTGAAGAAAAAGCAAGATTTTTATCAAGGGCCCAGAAAATGGAAAAGGTTTTCAAACTACAACAATGAAGATTTGACATAATCACAAAGTCTCAAGGACAGGATTCCTGAGAAAGCACAGTAACATCAGCCATGTATTACTTTTCAAAGGACTTGTGTGCAAATCAAAAAAGTCTTCTATTTCAATTCTAAGCCTATTAATGAAACAGCTAAATAACAGTATGTTCCTTGTTCACAGGGAACCAAAACTAATCCATTAAAATTCATATGATTGCCAGGCTTAGTAGCAAAACACCTGTAATCTCAACGGTTAGGAGGTAAAGGCATGAGGATTAGGAGCCTTAGGCTAGCTTGATCTACATGAGTCCCTAAATAAAACAAACAAAAAAAAAACCCCAAAAAGCCAAACAAATAAATCACACTATTCCACTACCTGTATATTTGAGAAAATTACTAAAGAAAAATCTGTGTAATCCATTCTTTCATTCAAAGATTTCATTACAGCTTTCATTTATGAAAAAAAAAAATTTTCCTAGCCACATAGTGCTAAGACAACTACCCTCTGCAGCAATGTGAACAATGCTGGTTTCCCAGCAATATAAAGTTAAAACAAACCTGGGGGTAACAACACTTTGAGCTGTAATGGAAACTATAAACACTAAATTTGAGGGCAGGAATGATGGCTCCGCAGTGAACAACACATGTTGCTCTGCTGTGGACCCTGGTTTGTTTCCCAATGCTGCATGGGTATAACAACCACCCAGAAAACTCCAGTCCCAGCTGATACAACACCTTCTTATGTCTGCAGGCACCAGACATGCACATGGAGCACATACAAACAGGCAAGCAGCACTGTGTTCATAAAATTTTAAAAATCTAAAAAAATTTAAATTTAGAATTTCTTTCATCGATTTGATAACACACACATGCACTAAAACTATCACTGCCTATAGTGCAACTATTAAAAATTATGTTTTGAAAGCCAAAGAGAGGACAAGACAACAAAATAGCCCAGTATCAAGATATTTTTCTTGAAAAAGAACCATTTGACTATTTAGGATGTTCTAGGAATCTTCCCAGGAATATGATACAGAAATGATAAAAGGTAGATAGTAAAATCTACTTTAACCCCCAAA